CACTACGTTTGCCTAGACGCGGTCTCCACTCCAGAACTCGTCTACCCCAACGGTTATCGGTTCTTCGGCAAATATGGCAAGCCCACTGCCACTTCAACTTGCTAATCCACATAACTAGATCAAATTTGATGCATTCTGAACAAAATTAAACAGGCCAAAGAAGATCATGAAATGCAATACAACAATAATAAAATGACGATAAAATATTGACGGCCGTAGGTGCCCGCATGACGTATGTGTCAATAATTGGATTGGCATTGATTGGTGATTAAAGCATTTAAATAAGGCAGATTACTGTAATTAACCTATTGTTAACATGTGTTTACTATTGTTGTCGGTTGCCTTGCGTATTTTTGGATCGCTCCAATAACGTTTGCGATGTTGAATATTTACCGTTAAAAATACAATACGAGGTAATTAAATCATTTGAAATAGTAGTTCTAATTAGTTCACTTAATAGCTATTTGATGTGTACAAAGAATGTATTAGCTTAATGTTTATTAGAGTTTACTCCTTAAGAATCGATTTGCATATATAAGGGACCCGGTATGAGAATAATGTGAGGAGTAAAATCTATCGATGAATGACCTCGTTACGTTTTTGGTGCGCATCCTATGTCGCGCAATTTTGACAAACAAAGATGACGCATTGACATTAATATTTTTTTTAAATCTGAACTGAATTAAATATTGTTTCTGATAGAGCAATGGGGACAACGAGGTATGGTACAACCATTGATGCGGTATTTTCAAGATTCGTGAACCACGTATCTACGAACGTCCATGTGTCTTATTTTATTTACCATAAACCACTTGTCACTGTAATTAATAATGCAGACAATGTTGATTTAATTATTATTTAAAAAAATGATAATAGTCTGATAATAATAATTACATAATTTACCAAGATTCCTAATGATATATTTATGCACATCTGGAATTGACTATTGTAAAAAGTTTAATGTAAAATATTTCGTCGATTAGTTATAATAAATGTATATGAAATGAATAAATATATATTTATATATGTATATTATTTTCATTAATTTGTTATTTTCCCTTTCATACAGTATCAATCTTTTTTAAGTTAAATAAACTCTTTTTGCGTCTTTTTAGACTATCGAACTTAAGGAATAAACTCCAGTCGTGCGGCGTCGGAGCTGACACACACAATTTTTTTTATAATGTGTAGATCAGACTGAACAAGGAGAGACCAACCAAAGAAAAATACAGACTACATCAAAAACAACAAAGAGAGACAGTTATTGAGGTAATGCAATATAATGGAACACGTTTTGCTGATTTTCATTGGTGAAATAGGTACCTTAAAATAAATAGATTATAAATACTATACAACCCTGTACTACTTTAAGAGTTGGTTTACTGAGGGTGTTTCCACATATCGCTGTGGCCCAGTTTATTAGCAATTTTGAACCTCATTTATCTATCATAAGTAGGTATATACATAACAGAATTTCTACAGCGCGATTTAGCACATACACCCAAACATTTGACAGGTTTTACTAGCACCATCTGTCTTAACCAAATGGTACTAAATACACATGAAAAACAAAAGAAAAATTCTTTAATGCTGAACAAATACTTATGATTGCCTACACACGAAGTTAAATTTAATAATTAATAAGCACTGGAGCTTTCGAATCTTCAGCCCATTTTCAATTATAGAGTTTGTTGAGGAGCTCGATGGCGCAAGTGGTAAGCGCTTTCGGCTGCGATCGTTGAAGTTAAGCAACTTTCGCAGTGGTCGGTCATTGGATGGATGACCAAAAATTTACTATCTCGAGTTCCTCCGTACTTCGGGAGGCACGTTAAGCTGTTGGTCCCGGCTGCATCTGCAGTCGTTAGCACCCGCCGATTCGCACTGGGCCCGCGTGGTGGGTCATGGCCCAATCTCCCTATTCCATCCATAGGCAAAGCCTGTGCCCCAGCAGTGGGGACATTAATAGGCTGATGATGACGATGATGATGAAGTTAAATTTAATAATTAATAAGCACCGGAGCTTTCGAATCTTCAGCCCATTTTCAATTATAGAGTTTGTTGAACTCAGTCCGTATGTCTCAACTCAAGAGCAATATTCATACTGTGTAATCAAACCGTGTAATTAAATCATTTTAAAACCGGCACCTGTATTTTGGTCGAATTATGCGATGCGCGGTTACGGTAGCTGAGCTCGAGCTGGGCGGTACCGAAGTTAAGGCTTGTTTAGACTCAACGCGTTGAATTTGTCCAAGTTGAGAAAGAAAAGAAATGATTGAAAAGTTATTTTAGTACACGGTGAGTCAGTATTCCGCAACAGTGCATAATGTTGGCATGCACCATGAACACAAAAAATACATTTTTACACCACCTGTATTTGGAACATCAATTATAGGTATATCCGATATTCTCAATTTAAAGTAAGCTATTAAAGTCCTAGGGAACTATAGTTGTATCGAAGTTTCCTCCTAATAAAAAATAAAAAAAAAAGTTCCCTCGGGGAATAACGAGATTTGAGTTTGTAAGGCCAAAATGTCAACAGAAACTCTCATCACTGATAGTTTTGAGAAAAAAAAAGAGGCGATTTAAAGCGTATCTTCCTAACTCGGTCCAAGGAGATTTTAACTATAAAATTAGACACATCAAAGAGAGACTTTACTATGCAAAATATTGAATAAATAATAATCAATAACAATTCGCGTTGTTAATTAATAATCAATTTACTTTAAATATTTAGTTTCTTAAGCAAATCAAAGTTGTTAGCTAAGTTCCACCTGCAGCAATTTTTCTTAATCTCAATTTAAATACCTTAAACTAGATATAAAACATACAAAAAAACAAAATATGGGCTTAATTTAGGTAAACATTGAATTGCTACAAGTGGACCATACCAATCAACTTTCCTTTGCCTACGAAACTAAATATGTAAAGAAAAAATTAATTAACGATCTTCGTTTTGTACGCGAATTGTTAAATTGTTGTCATTTATCATCCATAGATAAAACCTTAATATACTGGAGTATAGGGTAACCACGGTAGAGTCTGTGCGGAAAGAGAATGGACGTGGCGAAAAACGGAACTAACATTAAGATTTTCATTTGTCAATCAAACCCAGCAATCTGTAAAACGTCAAAGTTTTGTATTGATACGGATTTGTTTGTTGTTGTGATTTCTTGCTGTTTTTTGTATTTAATCATTGTTCGGTTGGTAGCGGACTGTAGTTAGGTTGAATGGTAGTAACACAAACACTGGTTCATCGGTCAAGGTATATTTATGCACATACAGACACAAAGGTAAATACACTGTAAGTACAGACACTGAAAAACTTGGTATTATGGCTAGGACTTACTCAGAAGTAATTAAATTTGATATAATAGGAAGCACGTCCGTACAATACGGTGGCCGGTAATGGAGAGAGAGAGTCAGCGAGAGACGCTGCTGGTCAACTAGTGCTGTGCACAATATTTAGTGTTGGGAAACATTCCAACAATCATGTCTAAAAGGGGTAAAACCTTACAAATACGGTAGAAAAGGACTACAGCGCCCTCCAATCTAAATCCCATTCTTTTTCCACACAGACTCTATTTGTATTGACAAACAAATGTAGTGACGGTGTGGTTTTATGAATGAGCCTTTAGATGGCACAGAAGCAATTACGGCACACGCCGTGATCACGCGCCCATATAGCGCGCGCTCGCGCAGAATCCATGACTCATATAAAGCTTAATACTAGGTCACTGAACCCTAATTTTAATAAACACGGAGTAAACAACTTGAATTAAAAAAGCTCTTTTTATGATAAACTCGACTCAGATTTACAAATATGAATATTCTAGATGAATCCTACTAATATTTAGAATGTGAAAGTTTGTATGTTTGTTACTCAATTAAGCAAAAACTACTGAACTAATTTAGATGAAATTTAATACGCATATAGTTATAATTTTTATTATTTTAAAGCATGTAACTGCTTGATTCTTAAGCTGCAAGGCAGCGCTATCTCTTCGCATTATAGGTAACCCACAATGTCAAATGAATACTTTTACAAGTATTAAACATTTGAAAGAAGAAATAGCAAATATAGTTATAATTTTTATTATTTTAAAGCATGTAACTGCTTGATGTTTAAATCTAAAGAAAATATAAATAGAAAAAAATCCACGCGGACCAGGCATCAGACGGGACTCGAACCCGCACCCTTCGCAATCCGGGCGAATGCACTGACCAATTATGCTACGCATATAGTTTATAACCTGTTTTGATAAATATGATGCTTTTTACCCGGGAATCTGTGAGGTTCCTGTGGTATTGTCAATAAACAGAATAAAGACTGAAACCAGTACTAAATGCAACGCCAATATTAAATGCAATGCCATGAAGATTAAGACAGGGATGTTTATACACTATCCTTTTCTTCCAAAAGTCGTTATACATTTATTGAGCTATGTGCAACATATATTGTTTTGATCTTTCATGGTCACTAACATTATAGCTATTAACGGGATTGTTACCATGTACCTTGTTTTTTTCATATATTATATATGTACAACATTATAAACTAAAATATTTAGAGAGTAAAAAAACATTGAAGTAAAATAGCTTTATTTATTTATACACGTAATCTATATAGAACTCCAAGGTGACTGACTGACATAGTGATCTATCAACGCATAGCCCAAACCACTGGATGGATCGGGCTGAAATTTGGCATGCAGGTAGGTGTTATGACGTAGGTATCCGCTAAGAAAGGATTTTGATCAATTCTACCCCCAAGGGGATAAAATAGGGAATGAAAGTTTGTATGAAACTTTGTCAATTTTAAACCGATCGGGCTGAGACTTTGCATGCAGGTATAAGAAGAATCATAGATGAATATCATTGTGTATAATAAAAGTCTGAGAACAAAAACTGTAGTCTACACTTCAGCTCTACACCGAAGCGAAGCGAGGGCGGGCCGCTAGTGTTAGATAAATATGATATTCAAGTTAATTTATTTGTTTCAGCAAACGCTCGAGACGGGTGGTGGCGGTGGTGTAGCGAATCTCGAGAGCCTGGAAGCAAAGGTAAATCTATTAATGTATTGTTCTAATATGATCTTATTTTAAGCATTAAGCTGCTGGATTTGTAATTAGATAGAACATTCGACTTTAAAATTGTCCTGTCCTTTTAATTGTTTTTTTTTTTCACTTAATTAACAACAACAAATACTTCAATTATGGGCTTTAGATGAAAATTCGTAAATGAAAGTGATTAAAATCGAGCACGCCTACAAAAGACATCAACGCGCTACATGACAAGATGAATGTTTACGCGTCAATCGTGCAAGTTACCCTACTTAGACTGCCGGTTTTTTCCTATCAGTATCCCTAGCACGAACCAGTATCGAATTCGAATAGTTTGCAAACCGAAATGTCAATGTAAAATTTTGTATGGAAACTTGAACAGCAGCGGCAAAAATTACGTAACGAGAACTAAAAATCAGTACACATTTGACAATGACATTTATTATTATTATTTATAATGAATACTAGCTGACCCAGCGAACTTCGTACCGCCCTAAAAAAATAGGGGTTGTCCAGCGGACAAAATTGTGAATCTAAACCATTCTCAGATCACCTTGAACACACACAAAAAATTTCATCAAAATCGGTCCAGTCGTTTAAGAGAAGTTCAGTGACATACACACTCACAGAAGAATTATATATATAAAGATTAATTTAATTTTAAGAAGTCTCCTGAAACTTTACATCAACTCATCATCGGCATTGGTGCCTTTGAAGGTGTTTATCGGAAGCTTTACTAACTGATACATCACTGGCCTATCGCCTACAAGTTTTCAAAACCGGGCCCTTTACTATTTATTTGCAGCGAAAGCGTTCTGTATCTATTTCTATCCGAGTGTCACAAACAAAAATAATAAACATAAAAAGCGAGGAATATTTACCATTCCTTACTATGCCCATATATGGTTTCTCTTTATTGGTGTGATATCGATCGTCGTTATCTATTATAGATCGCCGGCTGCGCAGGCGCACGCGGTGGCGGCCGGTCGATCGCGTCGCGGCGCCAATTATTCAATTTGTAACACGCGGCCTTTTTATTCTACTTTACCGACAAATGCGTTTCAATGACGTTGACATTTTAATTTCAAGGTTGCTTTTATTGGTTTTTCCTTCTCATTGTATTCAGTGGTTATTGACTTACAGCTTCTTTCATTATTTTAAAACTAGCAAACCAGTGAACCAAATGTTCACCAAAACCTGATTTAAAAAAAAATGTATTTAATTAATTGAGAACTTCGGAGATTTTGTGTGTTTTCGTTTGAAATTCGTGATTTCTCGAAAACCGGAAGTGCTACGTTACTCAAATCCGGTTTGTAGTCTTATCAGACAATTCTTAACTTATAACTTAAATACTCTCTTTATTTATCTCTTACGGTTTGGCCGCTGAAACAGCACCACAGACAGACGGACGGACGGACTTGTCTAATAGATAAGAGATGACCGTGCCTTATGGCGCTCTCTTGCCACTGATTACAGCGTCCTCGAAGAGGCAGAAAAGAGTATGGTCTCTTGGATTTTAAATTAAAAACGGTCTTATAAGTCGCGGCACGAAACTCGGGCGCCGACCGTTTTTGCGCAGAAGGAAAAATTAAGATGCCTTGGGGGGAAACGAGGTGCGCGGGCGGGAATGCTTTGCGCCGATTGGCTCTCCAGTCGTACCCACCCCTCAGGTTCGAGTGGTCTGGAGGCTCCAGACGAAGAGGAGACTCCCCCCGTTGAGCGACGCCATCCGACTGGAATACCTCCAGAGGCACTCGCCAATTCTCGTCTTGAGGTCCCCTTAGGATCTCGCCGTCCCCAAACCCGGTGACGCTGTAAAGGTCATCTGCGACCAACAGCATACACACACAAAAAAAAAGTCGTACCCATGCGCAGCTATCCCCTCCGCGTTTTGTTCAGCTCTAGAGTTACTTAACTGTTGTGTTTCTTATTAAGCCTCGAATAATGTTAGAAAATCGAAGCCATTGTAAATTTAAAAAAAAATATCCTGTCACACGCTTCTATCGCTATGCAAATTATTTCTACTACTTATTATTCTATCCTGCAAAAAAAATATAAGGTTATGCATAGAAATCAATTACTGCCAGCGCTCCCTATACCGGACCTAGGGGTGATAAATACCTTACGAGCACAACAATGTAGCGTCGATTTATATCCTAATATGCCAGTATATAACTTATTTTATGAGTGTTTGTAACTTCTCACATGCCACCGCGGCTGGCAAGAGAACATGTTACTAAGCAATATGTTAAAAGAAAATTAGTTCTTACAATGTTTCTGATAGCACCAGCTTAGCATTCAATTAAGGCTAGTTTAAGAATATAAATAACTATTAGTTATAGGCTTGTCGGACAGGACAAATAATGGAATTATATTTTACAAACCTTGTCAAAGAATGTATTGGAGTCTACAAGAACATAAACTTTCATTTCATTTTTCATGTCACATGTCATGTAAGCAACATGAAATTAAATAAAATTTTATTATAATTAATGTTTAATATTATAATGAAAATATTCTAAGATAACAATTTAATTACATAATTACTCTTTATATAAATACTAGAACAAAAAAACTAAAACTAAAAACCTTAAAAAATAAAAATAATAACTAAAATATATTATTAAAAGGAGTCCCTTTAGGCAAGGATCCGAAGATACTGGCAGCGTTACCCCTTTGAATAGCTAGACTAATTCTTTGTCCGAGGTAGCTGCCAGCTCTTCGGTCTCCTGTGATGTCGACTAATCTTTTTGCTATTTCCTTAAATAACCTTAAAGCGCTAGTACCCCACGGACCAAGGGTCTCGACACCGAATGGGACATAATCATATTCGGAGCCTAGACCCCTGTATTTGCTAAATAAAATACTTCGAATATTTTAATTATGTGAAATTCTAATAAACCCGTAGTTATTTCTTTATTTTAGGTAATAAAAAGGGCAACTCAATGATAGTTTCAATTGTCAAGTGCAAACTTTTCTACACAGCAAAGCTCATTAGGATTTCCGAATTTCTTGGATTTTCTTAAAGATTTTGGAAAGATTTCATTTCATACAAAACTCATCCTGAATTTACGAACACAACAAAAGACCATCAAATCTATGGAGTTGTTTTTTCATACCTATACGAATATGTGACATATACCTACACACAAGCTCAGAGAGAAAACATTACATATCTGTCACAGCCATCTAGTTAAATTAGCCAGCCAAGTTGACGCCTAGGCGGATCATTAAACGCCGCCATCCAATTAAATCAGTAGGCCGATAGTTAGTTAAACTTAAATGACTTATCGTTTAACGACTTGACGTGATGAAAGTTAACTCTCCCTCATATTTTAAAGAGCTTAAGTTTTATTCTTTTTGAAAATTCATTCACCAACAGGAAGCTCCTGATTGCTCCTAAATAACACGAATTAATGATGAAATGGCTTGCTATATCAATTTTATCGTATTAAAATGTATTTTACCTAGGGATGATGACTATTTTTTTTTTGTTCGTTTATCAGGTAGATTATCAAAGATCAAAAAATATTGGACACGTATTTTTTCTTTTTTCACATAATATGAACATTGCAGAGATATATTGATTTGAAAAGTCGCATGACGTCACCTTTTGGTACAATTTTCACTTAAAACATCACGAGCCCCTACTCCCAAACTTTGACGCGCTACAACTTTGTATTTTTTGGTTGATTGCCCAAAGAAAAAATACGTATCCATTATTTTTTGATCATCTAACTAACGGACTAAATAGAATTTTGTATACTGTACCTCGTCATCACCCCTATTGTGGCGGTTTGTTGGTCAGAAATAAAAAGCTTTATATAGCGACCCTATAAAACAGCGTCTGATATTAAAAACAATTGACTATCTCATTATCGTATCTAGGCACAGGAATACTCGATTCCGTTTTCTCGTTGTGTAGCGATGCACTCCGACTTGCTCTAGAATTAATCTAATCATTAAAAGGGAGCTGCAAATTGCATCTCTTCGCTATGGGAGCCATAGTTGCTGTTTTAAGTGGCCTGTGGATTATCATAGGGTTTAAAATAAAATCTTTATTTGCGAGCGAGCGGTGTAGCGAACTTTTAATGAGGATGGTAAGTGCCTTATGCGGTTGGAATAATTGCAGTCTATTTAAAGGGCTTATCTTTAAGTACGCGTATCATAGATTCATTTAATATTATTAATTTGAACACGTTACACGTTCTCATTGCTAACTGTTACATATTAACGCCTGAATATCTGAACTGAATTAAATTAAATCTTACATAGTGAAGCTCAGAGGAAGACATAGCGTCTGTTTACCGCAAAATACAAAATTGAAATTGCTATAAAAAAAACTCTAAAAATATAATTTAAGAATGGTTTGTGTTAGCAACTTTCCCAAGGACGGCATTTCGGCATCATAGTGCAAAAGAATATGCAATATGCTTCAATTCGAGCTGGAAAATTAATGCATCTTAGCTGTCATTCGTACTAATAATAGTGAAGATTCTGGCATGACTCTCGTAACTTAAAACTAGATTTAACATAAGTCTCTCCTTTTCATTCTGTATAGAGGATGACAAGAATACACTGCTGCCAAATTTAAGTTTAGGTTTAAAGAATTATACCTGAATCGACACCATCATCTTAATACGTGAGCTATTTCCTGTTTCATAGCAAACTAGGTATATTAGTGTTAAGATCACAACTTTCCTGCCATTAGGAAGCAACAATGCACACGATTATCGTATAGCGTGATCTGATGCCATCCTCCCGAGATGATAATTTGTGAGAAATAAGGGCGTCAATGTATTAACGGTTCACACACAATGGTGGGAAGCTCTCAGCCATCTCACTCGCACACCGTAAAGTTTCATGTGTTCTTGCTTGAGGAGCTCGATGGCGCAAGTGGTTAGCGCGTTCGGTTGCGATCGTTGAAGCTAAGCAACTTTCGCAGTGGTCGGTAATTGGATGGGTGACCAAAAAATTACTATCGCGAAATCCTCCTTGCT